TAGGTCATGTATAGGTAATTTTTCCTAACTTGAAACATTACTTTGCCTAATCGTTCAACCAATCATTATTATTTATATTTCGTTACTCATTGCAACAAATATTTAAAAATAAGTACAATTATTTGCAGTAGTAGTTGTTTCAGATGATTGCTTTTGTAAGCTATTTTCATTTCATTTTGCATACGAAAATTGATGATAAAACTGACATGTGATTTCACAGTCCTACTACTAGAACTGAAACCATTAGGTCTTATCATACTTGGACTAATTTTCTTCTATTAATTAGTAAACGTTTGTTGTAAATAATTGTCTATTTTGGAACGCGTTAAATACTTAGTGAATCCCGGCCGTTGAGGTGCTTGGCAGGTAAGCCACTGAATCAATACCCGGGCTTTTTGTGACCTGTTGATTATCTCCTGAAAAGAATCCATTATACTGATATCAGAAAGAGAGTGAGTGACGTAGCGACCTTTTATACTTTGATAGACACGGTTTTCATAGCCTCTATAACACTTCAAAGCATGCATACAGGTATTTTGTATGGGCTGTTTCCTCAAAACTGGTTACTAAAGTAAACTCATTTCATGCATTCGATGTAGTAGTATGATGTATATCATAATACATTTGACTAAAAGTGCAAATTTAAAAGATTAGTTAGGTAATTGTACACATCACAGTTTAATATGAGCCTAATATGAGTTTAATATGAGTTTAATATGAGCAGTTTAAAGCCTAATAAAACATCATTGTATCTACAACTGCTTCTTTAAAGCACAGTTTAATTTTATATTTAACCAAAGTAGTGATACGTCATTGATTCTAGGATATCTAAAAGACTACTAAACTAGTGAACAAGACATCTTTTCGTTTTTTTTGTTCACGCTATAAGGCATTGTAAGTATTGTCCCTTGTGCCATAGCAGTTTATTCTAGGGGTTTTCTTCAGGAGATTGCTTCTGATATTTAATAAGAAGGCGGACCCATCAGCTGATGCTCACAATCGATACTAGAGTGGTGACGAAGGAGAGGGGATGGGCCGGGGGACCTACTTGTTGATATTGTTTACGTTACGATAGAACAAATTGCTTTAGTACTGTCGTTACACCTCTCATGTTATATGTAGTCACAGCTGATACAACTCAAAGAGAGAAAGAGGGACGATCGAACCAAATCAATTCTAAATGTAGGTGTATAAGAAACAAATGTTTAATGGCAAAGTATTTCTCAATTAATAAGCCTAATGTAAATGGAAGTCGAATAGTCAATGATTACCTAATGAACAATCAACACATCAAAAAATGTGATAAAGAATTACCTCAAAGAAACAAATACACTGTCTTAAAAAAACCTGGATTGTAATATTTGTATAATAAAAGTTCAATAAAATTAGAGTAATATATATTTACCTATATTTCACTTTAAATGTCATATAAATAATTGGACAATGAATACAGAAAGCAACTTTGTCGTTAGTGAAATAATATTTGATTGGAGTCGATCGAAGGTCTATCTGTACTCGGCTTAGATAGAGATTTTAATCCTGGCTATCAATGGCTATGTACAAATGTTGCTTTGAATTGTAAGTATTACGATATTGAACTTGAAAATATGATGTATTTTTGGTTGAGTAGGCCGTTGTTGAATAAAGTGGTAATGAACCCGACGATACGTGAAGAACGGATGTTACATGTATGGGTTGCATAATGGAATTGATATTTTTCAATTATATGACTCGAAAAAATATTATAAAGAGTTACCTCGAACTTGAGAATCGACACACGTTGTAGTAATAGGCTACGCATTTGTGAGGGCTCGTTTAAAACATTTTAATCGTAAATTTTTGGGAAAGAATATGTTAAGTGCATTGTTGGATTATTTAAACCTATATTTCATCTAAAGGCATAAATGTATTTACGTATTTTAAAAACCAACCATTTAATGTGATCGACCCATTTCATCATATCTTTTCAGTAAAATCGGTAGTGATAATACTTACGTGTTACTTACGTGTAGCTTATGTTTTGATAGCTCTGATCTCTAAACTGAATAAGAAGCCGTCTGTAAATCTAAAAGGCACATTCACTCCCTGTGTATTGCAACGTATTGTGATATCGTTAGTAACTCTCTCTAAAACCATACTACTTTATACGGAAAATTAAACTCATTTGAAGGACAATTTACCGATTTATACTTGAAAACATTGTTATTTACACACACACACACACCCTTACCTTAAAAATAAGAATTATGAAAAAAACATTGAGATAATGAGTCATGTACTGGCACCATAAGTATTGGAATGAACAAAGAAAAGATTTCATAGTTGGGGTATCCTTAAAGTAACCTTTGGTTGATGAAATGAAGTACAGGTTATAAGATATTCAGGTTGGAGATGTAGTTTGAGGAAGTCAACAGATGTAGTTTGACAAGTTGTCTGATTCAGGAGTGTAGTGACTGTATGCGGAATATTTGACGGTACATTAACAAAAATAGCATATTCAGATACAAACCCTTTACTTCTATGAACAATTACACAATTTAAAATTATAATAAACATATGATGAATAGTTTTACTTTGCATAACATTCATATTATCAATTAATAAAACTTTAAACATACCTCTAATACCGTCAAGGGGTTTTGTTCACGTTAGACAACTACTGATTTCGGACCTAAAGGGCCATTTTTAGTTGCTCTCGAAATTACTTAAAATCCTCTTCGTCACTGGGGTTGTGATGACTTACTATTAATTTGTACACAAACATGAATGCATGAATCTGAATTCGGCAAGATGATAATAATCATAAACGTCAGTGGGTAGGGTTTTGCGGACGGTTGGCAAGGAGTTTTATCACACTCTTCTTTACACATTTTATGTTTAACAAAATGAAAACTTTAGCTTATATTATAATAATAATCAAAGTTGTTTGATGGTTATATCCTCATTTAACACAACATAGGTTAAAATCGGGTAACGTAAATAATCAATTCCGTTGTAACTAAAAAAATGGCTAGTTTCCCATCGCATATGTTTAAGTAATTTAAAATTATGTTTAAACTGTTAAGACTAGCATGCGTTACTCATAATGTTATAACTAATTAAAAGATCACAAATCGTGTGCTTATTTAGCATGAGTTATAACTTTCCGACCCCTTAATTACTATTGGTTTGAATTTCGATATGGATTAAATGGAAGCAAAATACTGAACGGCTGTGGATGACACTCTATTATTCAAAAGAGCTCCGCAGCACTGATGTTCAACTCCTACACTTCCTCTTGATTTGTCCTGCAAAGTTCAATAAAAATTATCCGGATTTACAGTTTTATTCCACATCGTTTAAAAAATTTATCCATAAAATCTTAAAACCTCTTCGAATGTTTACCAGACAGCTTGTGCAAACACTAATATTTACTTAGGCAAAATATCAATTTTATTTCCACCAGACTTTTAACCATACTTTTTTTATAAATGTTAAGAACGCAACTAAATAGGATGTTTTGCATCTGCTAAACGAAGCCAAATTATAGCAAACAATGCCAAATTATAGTAAAGTAACTTACATACATTTACTTTCCAAATGAATATTTACATTTACAAAAGTGCTATTTTGTTTTAAAAGCCAGTATGTAGATCTCTTTTGGTAGAAAATGCTTTCAAATGTAATTGCTTTCCAAATGATTATTTACATGTAAAAAAGTGCTATTTTGTTTTAAAAGTCAAATAGTAGATATCTTTGGGTTGAAAAGCTTTTAAATTAAATTATAGAGCAAATTAGCTCCTTGTAGGGTTATTCAAATATACAATTATAACGATTGTAAGACGATTAGATATGTTATCAACAATTTACTACTAAATACTTTAACAGCATAACACGGATATTCTACCTTAACTTATAACCGTTACTACATGTTTTTTTTTTGTACGCAAGCAGATTACCGAGTACTTTTACCAATTCTTATATCCTCGTACAAATTATCGTTATCGGATTTACTTTTTATAGTTGGTCTATTAAATTTTCTTTAGACCTTTGAAGTTAAATTACTTATTTTTCAATTTTGCTACACTCTTTCTTTTGTAACCGGAATAACTTTACCGTTTTTATGGAACGTAAAATTATTATATTTATAACCACTATTAAATTATAAATTATTAAATTATAACCACTGGCTGGGTAGCCGAGTGGTTATAGTGCTCGCCTGCTAATCAAAAGGTCGCCGGTTCGATCCTGAGAAAAGTCAGTAGCTTTTTGATGGTTCGAAACTGGACCCAGCTGTTCCTGATCATTGGGCTTTAAATAAATGATCCTGGCTAATGAAACAGCTGATCTTAGTCAGTAACAAAGCTACACAGATCATCTCACACCATTCTACACTCATCCTTCACTCATATTTGGGTTAAAATACGCACCTAAGTGGCGTCCCCATCTTAATGATTGATTGATTGATTGATTGATTGATTGATTGATTGATATACTTTTTTAGTATATATTCATAAATAATGTTCATACTTTTTTGTCCTAGGACGCTAGGCACGAGCCTGGGATTGTACTTTTTTCACATTACTTCAGGCTAGACCTTGGTCGCCACAGTCATATACACTTGGACTTGGACTTGGGGTTGCGGCATTATCACTTAGATAAAATTCATTGGCGACTTTGCGGGGATCGAACCCGGGACCTCAGGGACTGAAGTCCCGCGTAACCACTACGCCAGCTCGCTCCCCAATAATTTTCACACTTAAGAGATGTTTTTTCATGAAACGATTTTAAGGACCACATAATCATGTACAATTTACACACTAAAGAGAACCAGTACATGATTATGTGGTCCTTAAAATTGTTTCATAAAAAACTTAAATATAGTTAAGTAATTGTAGTAATTAGTAATTGTAATGTTGTTATGTTTTCTGAAAGTGATTGCGATATTATCATGTTTTCCGCAAGTTATTGTGTAATTACTATGTTTTCTGCGAGTGATAGTGTTATCGTTATGTTCCCAGGGACAATGAAAGTAACAATATACTTGACAACCTGTTGACGCGTATGGAGCAGTATGCCAACAACCTGGAGGCCCTGGTAGAGGAGCGCACAGCTGATTACCTGGAGGAGAAGCGCAAGTGCGAGGAGCTCTTGTATCAACTGCTGCCCAAGTAGGTGCCTAACATATCAGTCTGCTAGACTTCAGAGCAGCTGAGTGGTTATATTGCTCAAATTTACAATAAAAAGTCGCTGGTTTGATGCCAAGCGGGTTCACTTTTAGACCTAGATGGAATTAGCCATTTGGCTATTAATACAACATCTTATACAACAAAAGGTTGACGTGAATTAGCAAAAAAATTTGATTTTGGACAATTCCCTCACTAAATACTAAAAAGATATTATTGTAAGACTAAAATTTATATATTAGTCTAAAAAGATATTGAATGTTGTCCAAACGCACTCGAAACTACAGAAAATAAAAATGCACAACTAATTCTACAACTGTAAAATGAAAAGATGAATGTAAACTAATCTATGACCAATTTGTTGTTCGTCTAGTAGACTTTTACTACGAGCATGAATGATACTATGATTATTTCTGTATTTTAAGTTAGATACTAACCACTGAGGTTTAAATACCGCACCATTTTAACAAAACGCAGTGTTAATATCAGTGTATTGTGTAGCAAAATGTTAAGTATAATGAAATTCATTAATAAAAAAAAGAATAAATCAGTAAATATGTTTTTTTTATTGTTGATTGCCACACAACGTGTATTATACAGGGTGTAAATAAAGTGCCGCACAGATTTAACATGTTCTGAAAATAAAATATACATTAATTAGATTTGGTATATGAACACGACACCTAAATATTTAATTATTTAAGGAACATTCAGTTTACTGTAATGTCATGGGAACGTCCCACAAGGAGTCAGAAGGAAATTTTAAACTTTAATTAATAACTTTAATTAATAATTTTAAATAAGAGCGTTGGTTGATTGGTACATCTAATAAAAGGCCTTCATTGGAAGAATACAATGCTGCAAATTTGACCTCAAACGGTCAACCGAATCAAACATGACAGGGGTTCAAATTCATTGATTTTGCTATGCTGTGATACGCTACCTCCTCAGGGGAGCAGCCACTATAGGAATCAGAAGAAAATCGTAAACGTAAGCAAAGGTCGATATGCACATCATATTAAAGGTCTTTATTAGTAGATTACAATGACGCGAATTCGAGTTCGAAAGAATAACTGAGTAAGAAATTGCAGCCGTTCAAAAATTTAAATTGAAAGGTTTAAGAAATCTTTGAAATGCTGCCATTTTTGACTCGGTTGTCAGTTTGAGTTCAAATTTGTGGTATTGTATTCTGCTAGTAAATGCCTTTAATTAAATACACATATCAACCTATGTTCCTGTTTAAGATTTGCTTCTGACTCCTTCTGTCACCATGATATGACACAAAGCTTAAAGTTCCTTCAAAAAGTGAACTTAAAACAAAGTTTAGGTGTCGTGTTGATGTACCAAATCTTAATTATTTATCTTTTACCGTTCAGAACATTTTAAACCCGTGCAGGACTTTATTTACACAGTGTATATTAAACTACTAGAGAGTATGACATCAAGGACAACATTGTTAGTCTGACGTTTCTATATTCAATGTCACAGATATTTGAAAGTGACAAGTCAGAGTTATGCATCATATTGAGATTATTCAAGTAAACTTTGGATTATCCCTTGATAAACCTTTGCTTCATAATACAAGTTTTCTCATTATTTGGTTTGATGCTCTGATACGGCTTATGTCTTTTGTTACACACTCACTCTTACGGAGCCTTATGTATAGCTATAGGCCTACATAATATATATCGAGTATTATAATTTGTAGTTCATATGTTTTATTAAATAATTAAACAATATACATTCAAACATATTTTAATGTTTCTGATACGTTAAAACATATACAAATTGTAATAATATTGTATTTAATGCCTTAACATAAATAAATGTACGAGTATTATGAATAACCTGCTCCAACAAGAGACCTAAGCTCTGCGTGACTTTTAAAAGTTGAAACAAATAAATACACAACAGAAATACCTACTCATGAACTTCTTTTGGTAAACCGGACCATAATCAGTTAAGGACCAAACTAAAATATTTGTAAGGGCTTGATCAGCATATGATTGGACCTGTTCGTTTTCTACCTAGCCTTTCACTCGTAAGTTATTGTCATAAACTTCAGTAGAATCGTAGGATTTACAACATTAAGTAATACAACACATCTATATTTTCAGGTCTGTGGCTAGTCAGCTCATCATGGGTTAGAGTGTGGTTGCTGAGACTTACGACAATGTAACCATATACTTCAGTGACATCGTAGGGTTCACAAAACTAAGTTATACAACACATCTATATTTGCAGGTCTGTGGCTAGTCAGCTCATCATGGGTCAGAGTGTGGTTGCTGAGACTTACGAAATGTAACCATATACTTCAGTGACATAGTAGGGTTCACAAAACTAAGTTATACAACACATCTATATTTCCAGGTATGTGGCTAGTTAGCTCATCATGGGTCAGAGTGTGGTTGCTGAGACTTACGACAATGTAACCATATACTTCAGTGGCATAGTAGGGTTCACAAAACTAAGTTATACAACACATCTATATTTCCAGGTCTGTGGCTAGTCAGCTCATCATGGGTCAGAGTGTGGTTGCTGAGACTTACGACAATGTAACCATATACTTCAGTGACATAGTAGGGTTCACAAAACTAAGTTATACAACACATCTATATTTGCAGGTCTGTGGCTAGTCAGCTCATCATGGGTCAGAGTGTGGTTGCTGAGACTTACGACAATGCAACCATATACTTCAGTGGCATAGTAGGGTTCACAAAACTAAGTTATACAACACATCTATATTTGCAGGTCTGTGGCTAGTCAGCTCATCATGGGTCAGAGTGTGGTTGCTGAGACTTACGACAATGTAACCATATACTTCAGTGACATAGTAGGGTTCACAAAACTAAGTTATACAACACATCTATATTTCCAGGTCTGTGGCTAGTCAGCTCATCAAGGGTTAGAGTGTGGTTGCTGAGACTTACGACAATGTAACCATATACTTCAGTGACATAGTAGGGTTCACAAAACTAAGTTATACAACACATCTATATTTGCAGGTCTGTGGCTAGTCAGCTCATCATGGGTCAGAGTGTGGTTGCTGAGACTTACGACAATGTAACCATATACTTCAGTGGCATAGTAGGGTTCACAAAACTAAGTTATACAACACATCTATATTTCCAGGTCTGTGGCTAGTCAGCTCATCATGGGTCAGAGTGTGGTTGCTGAGACTTACGACAATGCAACCATATACTTCAGTGGCATAGTAGGGTTCACAAAACTAAGTTATACAACACATCTATATTTCCAGGTCTGTGGCTAGTCAGCTCATCATGGGTCAGAGTGTGGTTGCTGAGACTTACGACAATGCAACCATATACTTCAGTGGCATAGTAGGGTTCACAAAACTAAGTTATACAACACATCTATATTTCCAGGTCTGTGGCTAGTCAGCTCATCATGGGTCAGAGTGTGGTTGCTGAGACTTACGACAATGTAACCATATACTTCAGTGACATCGTAGGGTTCACTTCACTTAGCGCTGAGAGTACTCCACTTCAGGTGGTTGACCTTCTCAACGATCTTTACACCTGCTTCGATTCCATCATCGAGAACTTTGACGTCTATAAGGTTGGTTATTACATTTTCCGGTGTAACATTCCCGGTTTTAAGCAATAGTTACCATATTAGGTAGGTTTACCATATTATGGTTGCCAGGGTTCGGCTTCAAACACATCAGGAAGCTGGCAACCCAAGGTATACAAATATAGTTAGTTGATTTGTTTTAATAATACTTGGTTTAACTTAATACAATTCATCATTTACGTTTAAACCCAAATTCATTTAACTAAACCCCAAAAGTAAAACCCCTTAAAACAAAGTTTGTTTTTACAAAACATATTTTTACAAACCTTGCCAAACAGTTGGATAATCCTAATATGAATTCGCATACACCTGAATAGACTGCAAGTACATTTAATCCAATAAATCAGTGAGCTGACAAACAGAGCAGTGTATCTCTGAGGACTACTTTGATAACTGAAGCATAAATCGCTCTGTATCGTGTTGTATTTCCGAGTACTGTATTACAAATTAAATCAACGATAAGTCTCTTCGTACGTCATTAATTACACTTTACGTTGAGTAACTTCAAACTTGATATTTAATTAGTTAAAGCAAAATTTATGTTAAAATTCTTTGTCAATTATTGATCCATAAAAATAATTATTAGGCGTCTAAAGTTTCGTTTTAAAAATGTGTAATATTTAACTAAAAATATAATATAATGTGTATGCATAATCTTTTCTCTAAACCTTTCGTCATCCGTTGCCCTTGTCTTAGGGGGCTATCAAACAATGATTCAATAACTTTTATATTTATAACGATATCTAAGTGATTTTATTGGGTATTTCTACCTATGTGTAATAATATTGTAATTAGGTTGCCGTATTTAATAACTTGATATTTACTATCTCATAAGCTAGATTAATTTGAAATATTCTTCATTAAACTTAAAAAAATATAAATCACGCGTGAGCAAAGATAATGTAACTCCAGTCAGGCAACCTCCTATGGTGTGGGTTAGCATATTAATTTGTTTACATTATTTTAGTTATAGCATGTTGACGGTGTTCAACAACTGTGAACACTTGAAGTCGGTTTATTTATGATTTATCAATGATATAGTAAGGTTATCAATGGCATAGTTGAATGATAGTTGCAAACACTTCAATGAGCTCCAAGTTTGACCCGAGTATTAATATGTTTGTTGTGACACTATATCAGCATATTTAAGATAAGATTTACCGGTGTTTGTTTACCTACTATGTGTCTCGCTCCAGGTGGAGACTATAGGTGACGCATACATGGTGGTGTCGGGTCTGCCGATGCGCAATGGTAACCTACATGCCCGGGAGATCGCTCGCATGTCTCTGGCGCTACTCAACGCTGTAGTCACCTTCACCATCCGACACCGGCCCAAGGACCAGCTCAAGCTCAGGATCGGCATGCACACTGGTAAACCTGCTTATAATACTAACAAGTCATTGTTAGTCATCCTGATTCACAGACTCATGTGATTGCAATGCATTTACTGTTGGACGTTTAGATATCTATTTTGAAGGGAATAAAACCCACACATACAAGTGTACAGACATTTTTGGGGTTTTTTTTATTAACTAATTAATTAGACATTGCAGCAGAAGCTAGGTGCTGTTCAAAAATATCCAACCTAGTACTGTACCCTAGTGTCTAATAAGGATTTCTAGGTTTCATTTCTTCACAAAGTGCATTTCTAGGGAATATCACTTTTGAAATATGAAAGGTCAATAGAAAACATATTAATGTTTAAAGAATAGCAGTCTATAACGGGAACTGGACCGTTATGATTTTATGTATATACATACAGGTAGTACATACAAATATGAACTTATGCACATACTAAGTTTTTGTATTGGAAAGTTAGTTTGAAACGATTGTGTACAATCATTTCGTTCCGCATCAAGATACCTATTTAAAATGTTTGTAGGTAATCCAAAATAATAAAGGGAAAAGGTTAGTTAACAACAATCTCTACAGTTAAAATAAAAAAATAAACGGTATCAGCATTCTGACACATACTTTCTCCCATAAGTTTGTCAACAACCTTTATCATGCGTAAGCAGTGAGAGTAAATATAATGAAATGGGATTTGTACAATTTTGTTTAGAATTTGAAGGACTATAACATACTAAACTTTTATCAAAATCGTTCGGGCCATTTTTTATAAAATCCATTTTTCCGTTATTTTATGGGACTTTTATGGGAAAATAACATAATTTTCAATAACTTTTGAACTGTAATTTTTACAGAAATGGGATTTGTACCATTTTGTTCGGAATATAAAGGACTATAACTTACTAAATTTGTATCATAATCGTTCGGGCCTTTTTTGGGAAAATCCGATTTTTCCATTATTTTATGGGTTTTTATGGAAAAATCCCAATTAAAAATGAAAATTTCTAAAAAAAGAAAAAACTATCAAAATGGTAAGGACCATAACATAATATGTTAAATCAAAACCTGATTTTTTTATAATTATATTTTTCGTTATTTTATGGGGGTTTTTTATGGGAAATAACATAATTTAAAATAACTTTTAAACCGTAATTTTTACAGAAATGGGATTTGTATCATTTTGTTCAGAATTTAAAGGGCTACAACATACAAAATTTTTATCAAAATCGTTCGGGCCATTCTTGAGAAAATCTTTCCAGTTTTTACGGTTTTTATGGGTTTTATGGGAAAATCCCCATTAAAATTTCAAAAAATGAAAAAAAAACGCCTAGGGATACTATGGATTAGAATCCACATACCAAATTTCATCGAAATCGGCCCACAGGTGTAGTCCCTAGCTCTGTACACATCCAGAAACACACACACACACACACTGACATCACTTCGAAAACCACTTTTTTGGGTCCAGGGGGGGCCAAAACAAATATATCCACTCAAAACTCAAACTCGAAAATTTTGACGAAAACAATACTTCCTCCATATACTATGGTATAGGGGGAGAAAGAAAAAAATAAGCTTGCTCAAAGTTTTTCATATATATTATCTTAATTTTAGACTAGTAATTTAAAACGTACGTTATTTATAAAATATACGAGTTAACATATTTATTTCTTTAAACCACTTTTTTGTTAAGTAATCTTGTTTTACTTGGGCTTATATGTTTTATATAAATACATATTTTATTCATATCCTAGTGAAATCAATATTGGTAAATCACTGCATAATACGAGCGTATTTCGATGTCTCGCCAGAACTGTAATTATTTACACTTGGATTGATGATACCGACTGATCGACTATGCAGATAACGTTACTAACTAATGTGTGCCAGTAACCTCAATGACTAAACGTATCTATGGATCTGATGAGAATAGCCATACCGGTTGTGACGAGTGACCTGTAGGTTCATGAAACGAGGTTATATAGGTTTAGAAGGACGACAACGTTTTGCTCTTCAGTTAAGTTTAAAAGCGTCCATAGTGCAGTGCTGATTTATCTTACTACATTACTAAATTTACTTTTTTCAGGCAGTTTTTTTGTCAATTGAATTTACAATACACTTTAGTTGTTAACTAAGACAAGTGAACAATTGTATCTACAGTAGTTTGTTTTGCTTGCAGGTCCATGTGTGGCAGGTGTTGTGGGACTGAAGATGCCGAGGTATTGCCTGTTTGGGGACACTGTCAACACGGCGTCTCGGATGGAGTCCAATGGTCAAGGTATGTAATTACTTATACTACTACTAGTAATGCAGTTGAAAAACGAATGGGGTGGTCTAGTGGTAGAGTGAGGGACTTCAGTCCCTAAAGTTCGGGGTCCAAATCCCACCAATCACCCACCGATGGTTTTTGACTAATTTATAATGCTACATCCTCTAGGGGTAGCCGGAAGAAATGTGACGAACTATAACGGACTAGAGCATGTAAAATGTAGATTGTGCTGTCTATGGGTTTTTCCATGTTCCTTATTAACGCTTAATATAAATAGGTAACCAAAACGTTGAAGAAAATTTGTCTTACCTTACTGTGAGATGACCTGTGTTATTAAAGGTTGTCCTAAAACTATATTTTGGTAGGTCTCCATTTTGTATAGCAGTTTTGAGTGTTTTCTTTAGTTAGAAACTACTACTTTAGTTAGAACACTGCGGATTTTTTGAAAATACATTTATAGTTCGGCCGCTTAGAAAACGACCTGCGCGCTATTGCTAAACCAACGCTGGAGGAGGTCGCTTTCTAAGCGGCCGAACTATAGTTCTTATATACAACTTCAAAGCATCATTGCATTCAATCTAAAGTAAATATACCCTTAACTGTTAATATATTCCTTGAGTTTCGATGTTTTAGTACTACATCGTCAGATTACTGCGCACTCTTCATGGGTTGTAAAATACATTTTTTATTAGTATTGCTTAATTAACTATAACTAAGCCATCAATTATTTGTGTGTGTACTTTTAAACTAGCTGATGCTTACTTCACAAATTCACTAACGGAAACTGATAATAAATCAATTTAAACTAGATACCAAAGAGTTCATGATGGCTTTAAACTGAAAAATTGAGCTTAAACTCCCTGCATTAATCTCTTGGTTGGTTACAAATAGGACGGATAAATCAGTGACACCAAGATTAATGGAAGATATAAGAGCGTCAACGTAATACCGAAACAGTTTGATGAATACTGCTTTATTTATCTACTGCTATATTTATCAAAGTTGCCACTGATACAGAAACATCTGAAAATAATTTTAGTTTTCAAGCCTATAGTGATTTCATATAGCTATGTCGGTGTTTGTTAAAATGACGTTTAGAGTTTTGTTAAATGACCTCATAAAAGCACTATTTTTTTATTGATGGATGCTAGCCTCCCCATTACTCTATAATACTAAAGTGGTTTAAATACCTGCATTTAAGTTTAAACTATTTAAATACCTACATAAAACAACGACTTGGATTACTTATATGCTGGTATTTCATTTTAAGTATTTTTTTAAAGGATATATTACGTGTATATTATATGTTGTATTTAACAAACACTATAGCTTGGTTATGGAGCAAAATCTGAAGGTGTCTTTGTATTTTTCAAAATTATAAGAACCAACAGCTCCTACGACGCAACATCAGTGTTTTCATCCACGAGTTTTCACTTCAAATACGAAAAGTTAATAAGGCCTCGTATTTATATTATCATTAATAACTATTGAAATGGGGACAACATTTAAGTGCGTATTTCAATTCAATATTGAGCGAGGGATACATGCAGATAAGCTGTTTTGTTAGTCAGGACTATTAGCAAGGACGGCTGGGTTCAGTTTTGAACCATTAAAAAACCTAGACATTTTCTCAGAATCTAAACGGTGACTTTATTATCACTAGGCGAACACTTCAATCACTCAGCCGCCCCACTATCTGGTATATTCGCGTATAGTTGCTATATTGGGGCTTAGCAACAAGAAGAGGGACAGAATAATCCGGTTCTTTAGATTTACTCTATGAAATAGTCACTAGTTGGTTGATTTTAAATACTAAGCTTAATAACACTACATTAATAAAATTCTTATCTCTAAATTTAGATCAGGGGTTTTGATTTCCTTAAGAACCTAGTGCCATGTATGAGTGGCGCTAAAGATTGTACAAATGTCGTATTTAGGACATATGATTAAACTTGAAAATATGACTTAAACAAAAGTGTAAACTTTATTTAGACTTTTAAATTTAAATTTTACTTTTAATTTTAAAGATCTACAATTGAAGTCAATCTAGAATCTAAAAACATACCGTAGTGTAGCAATTAAATCAATAACTTCATTTTGGCGTTTCGTAAGATAAATCTGTTTCCCCTAATTCTTCAATTTTAACTAAGCCTCTTTACCTATATTATTATATTAATATAGAAGAAAACTATAAGAACAATTCTTCAAACTTTCTTTGACCAAACATTACTCTATAACTACATTCCTCACTTTGTACACTAATTTCCACAATGTAAACAAAACACCGTCAATAGCTTCTTTATACACTAATTAGTAACTGTATACATACGAATAACATTGTAAATTAGGAAACCAGTGGGACGGAGCTCTAGGAGTTTTAAAATAAAAATAGGTTAACCGTCTGCAGTATATTGGCTATATTTAAACAAAATGCCATCTCCATTGGTATAGTAGTGTTCACGTGAATCTATACGTGACATACTCACTAATAACCAAACTTTCACATTTGTAGTAGGCCTATTCGATAGTCAAATCACCTCTTCTTTCCTTTTAAATGTTTCAATTATTTTGTATCTGACTAACTTGTAGACTAAGTGTAAAACTAAAATGCACGTTAGCCTATAATCTATAATTTTTTCTTTAATCAAACCCCTTGCCTTTAAATGAATAAATAAATTAATTATGCTTATACGAGATAGCTAAAAATGTAATATTGTTTCAGCACTGAAAGTCCACGTCAGTCCCAGTACGAAGGAGGTACTGGATTCTTTTGGAACCTTTGAGTTGGAACTTCGTGGTGAAGTTGAAATGAAGGTACAAAATAATAAACTACTGTTTAGGGTCACTCATTGTAGATTTTGTAGTCTTAGGGTGCACCGTGTCAATTCGACTGTGTGACTTTATTTGTTAATTGTGCGGAATTCAAATCGCCCTGAGAATGGCAGTTTGCATCTAGGCCAAAACAATTGTGAATAATAGTGTTTTGTCAAGCTTGACACGGCCTTCGCCCGAAAACCACAAATGAACTAAATGAATTACTAATGTTAACCACTATCTTTTGACGTTGAATTAAAAATATACGTTGTTTACGGTATTACAACAACATATATACACATATATACGACACACACGATATACACATATATACACATATATACGATATATGTTGTTTGTGTTTAACATAGCAAATGTTAAATAGGATTTATATTTATTTTAATTAGGATTTACATTGTAGCAGGTAAGTTTCAATATACAACAGCCTAATAAGCTATACTGAGAATTATTGCTGAGGGTAACTGGGGTCAGGGCTCCTACCCAACATTGGGAGATGATAATATTATCTTTTTTTATTAGAACCTGGAAATATTTTACGCCAACTTGTTACGTGTATGTTCAGTAATTGTGTACCATATTTCCTGCACATGAGATAGTCTGTTATTGGACAGGGCTCTTATAGAACATTTAACAGTTGCACTTCAAAATTACAACATTGTTTACAATTTAGTCTTTTGAGCTAACTTAAAAAAATGCTTATTTCATCGATAAGTCATATTCAACAGTTGTTGTCAAACGTGACAATTATTTTGCAGGGCAAGGGTAAAATGACTACTTATTGGCTCTTGGGGGAGAAGAAGACCAGTCCGGCAACTCAGCCCCTCTCGCAGCCCCCGCTAGGGTTGACTCCAAACAACATCACAGCGCCGTTGTCTACTCCCAACTGTACCCGCCATGTCAACAACGTTGCCAACAACACCGCCAAACCCAAGGTCAACAGCAAACCGACCAATGAGATAAACGCCACGACACCCCTCCTGCAAGGCGATGGCCCGGCGTAGATGTGGCTACGCTGCACTACGTAGCTGTCGCTGTTAACCTACGCTTACTAGAAGAATTGTATATACATAGACAATTAGAAAAGGAGATTCATACCGCCGATTGGTCAGTTGGATATTATTGTTAGATTGCGTCTTGAGTTCATCCTAAAACCACTCTGGTTACATTATAATTATTCGAATACCCTACATTATAATGTTATACGACTTCCTACTTTGTATTGATAAAAGATTTAAAGTTGACTAGACGCACAACTTCTTTGAATAACCTAAAAAGAATGTGGTTTTAACAGAATTCTGTTTGTAAGATCGCTCAGGTATTTCAAATTAATTCAATTCACTTTAGGTATTTCAAATTAACTACCCAATTGTTTTGATTAGGGCAAACAAACCCACTGACAATAACATTCAACTGACCAAACCCGGTTAGTAAGAAGCCTCTGTACTATACAGCTTTTGTTGTGACGAAGTATTACGACTCTTTACTATTTCCTACGACAAAGAAGTTATGATTAGAAATTGTGATAATAACTCGGCATGTAGACCTATTAGAATATATCACGTTAAGTTTCAAGAGTCTTATCTATCATCAGTTTGTTAAAGCTTTAAAGTCGGTTTGGTTACAATATGCAGTTGTTTATAACGTTTAGATTGGATTATTTAGATACGACTTTCAATTGTTCATACATTAATAAATGTGATAACTACAAGATATAGCCTACTTTTTAAATCTTTCTAAATAAATTCTAGAACTTGTATTTTTGTAAAGATTAATTAAAACATTTATTAAGTTTAGGTTTTCTAAGAATGTATATCTTTATCTTAGTCTGCTCAAGCATCGGAGACAAAAAGGCCATTTATAAAGTCTTAAATTGAATTGAAGAAAATTGTAAACTCTAATAACTTTAATCAGGTAAAAATTTTCAAACACATGTTAACTTTCAAGTCAAGTTTATGATTTTAGAGAATTTTATGCTAATAAAATATATGCAACAACATTTATGTAAGAAATAAGATAAATTATAAGTATTATAAGGTTTACACCAATTTGGCCAAAAATATGTCCTCAATCTATAAAAAGTGTTCTTACATTCCTTTTCACTTTTGGACCATGATAAAACAGCAATAAATGTGTAATGGAATCCTAAATGTACCAAACATATTGTTGTGCTAATGAGAGATATGTTGTTATATAGTTGTCGATATTCATGTTTTTCTCATTAGACAAGATCCTTATGTGTTATCAAGTGACTGTCCACTTCGTTGACCAGGTCCGTTAGTGGAACTATCGTGTACTTATTGTAAATGACTGTCATAGATATAATTTTTATCTAAATGATGAATGTTACCTCGTTTTAAAAACAAAAGGTATTAATTGTTTAACGATGTTTATAATTCAATTCGATTACTTAATTATGTAATATTTCCAAGATGTACTTTAATTATAACGTTTAAGAAACACATTTCTGTATATACCCATTCACCTGTAAATGTCATGTGATATCGCTATATATTTAAAGTAAACAATTTAAAATTCAATGCATTTTTTTACCTTACTAGAGTAATTAATATAAACATATTTAAATTAATACCAATGTAAAAATATAAGTGACAAATACAAACATCTTTAGCCTGGATTCACTATAGTTTACTTTACTCAAGGGGTATTAAAAAATTGTTCTTTTCATTATTATTACGATGCAATTCTATTTGGTGACAAATTTCGTTGGAAGTATTTAAACATCTGTATGTCAAAATTATGTCTTTTACTTTTACTGCAAAACTATCTATTATAATTTCTTTATAAGTACTTTTTTGTCGGTACCCTATGACTTTCTCAATTCTTCGCCAATTTCCATAAACTATGTGTAATTTTAAAGCTTTTTTACCCACTACACGGGAAAAACTAAATTTTCAGTAGGTTTTCGTAAAAAAGATCTATTATACAGGGTGTCTCAGACCACCCGGCCGGCTTGTATAGCTCCAATATGAAAGCAAATGGAAACCTAATTGCAACTGGAACCCCATATTTTGACCCCAAGGAATTCAGCTAAATTATTTTCAACCCCAAAAAAGCACCCCAAAGGGCAGATTTTGGGGGGTGGGGGTGGTTTTTGGGAAATTTTCAAATGTAAAGGGGGGTCGTGTTATACCTCTTTTTAAAGGTCCTTTAGTCCTGAGTATTTTAGTGGAAAAAGATTTAAATTATCTTCATCCCTATTTACAGGGTGTTCAAAAACGTACAAAAAATAGACCTTTGAACTACTTTTCACTGTAAAGAGGTGGAATTTCGTGGGGGGTTCAAATTTTGACAACACTTTAATTAATAAATGAGCTTTCAAAAAACTCTGGTTTTAACCCTTTTGCTATCTTTTTACTTATGCTACGCATTTTCAAACTTTTTGAAGTTTCAAAAGCTGTTATCTCAAAAATTTCAAATAGCAACATGGGTTTCATTACAAACCACATTGTAGCCCTTGAAATTTGCTATAATTTTTGTGTTTAATGTTCTTTGGTATCTTCATTGGTTAAAGAGATATAACGAAATTAGTGTATTTTAATGTTTTATTAAATGGTATTCAAAGTGTTTGCTGTTGCAAATGTACACCTCTAGGTCTCAATTAAAACAAATCTTGTCTAAAAAAATAAAATAGTACTCAGATTGTTGATCTTGGAAGATTGATAAAGGTAAGAACACAACTGCAAATATGCTTAGTTATTTTACAATTCCATGGCTCTAATAGTGCTTTGAATGAATAATTTGTTTGAATCAGCAGCCTACATACAGATGGACTTCTACAAATGCTTAAATTGCCTTCCAATTTGTTCCATGCAAACCCCAACTCTGTTTATGCACGTAGTACTTCTTCTCCACTATTATGGTACTGTATTGCTATTTTACTACCGCAGGTGCATTCACCTCTCGTACAGATCCAGTAAGTTCCTTATAATTTGTTTTATCTGATCAAACGTGACCAGTTTCACGCTCACGCTCATTGATTTCATGATGATTTTTTTTTTTATTTACCAGTAGCATTTATAGACAGTATTCATTCAAAGCACTATTAGAATTTTGTAAATTGTAAAATAACTAAGAATATTTGCAGTTGTGTTTTTCCTTTATTAATCCTCCAAGTTTAACAATCTGGGTAGTATTTTAATTTTTTAACATAATTAGTTTTAATTGAGACCTAGACGTGTACATTTACAACAGCAAACACTTTGAATACCATTTAATAAAACATTAAAATACACTAATTTCGCTATATCTCTTTAACCAATGAAGATACCAAAAAACATTAAATACAAAAATTATAGCAAATTTCAAGGGCTACAATGTGGTTTGTAATGAAACCCATGTTGCTATTTGAAATTTTTGAGATAACAGCTTTTGAAACTTCAAAAAGTTTGAAAATGCGTAGCATAAGTAAAAAGATAGCAAAAGGGTTAAAACCAGAGTTTTTTGAAAGCTCATTTATTAATTAAAGTGTTGTCAAAATTTGAACCCCCCACGAAATTCCACCTCTTTACAGTGAAAAGTAGTTCAAAGGTCTATTTTTTGTACGTTTTTGAACACCCTGTAAATAGGGATGAAGATAATTTAAATCTTTTTCCACTAAAATACTCAGGACTAAAGGACCTTTAAAAAGAGGTATAACACGACCCCCCTTTACATTTGAAAATTTCCCAAAAACCACCCCCACCCCCCAAAATCTGCCCTTTGGGGTGCTTTTTTGGGGTTGAAAATAATTTAGCTGAATTCCTTGGGGTCAAAATAGGGGGTTCCAGTTGCAATTAGGTTTCCATTTGCTTTCATATTGGAGCTATACAAGCCGGCCGGGTGGTCTGAGACACCCTGTATAATTCTGAAAAAGAATTTAGGCATAGCCTTCATTTCGACTTTCCTACCAACCATTCTATGTATATTTAAGGACTCCATCTTCAGACATCACCTATTATCTTTTCTTTGTTACAGGTTTCAATGAATTTTTTATTTACAGGAAACGGTTGATATTAGTTTTGATTCGGTTCTTTACTAAGGGGCGAAGAACACTCTTTTTTGTGCATTATTGATTTTAAACTCATTAAGCCCTCTAGGTTCGTCACATCATAATAAGCCCATGCTAAAATAAACTCTATTATCATGTTGATGAGAAACCTAAGCAGGATCCAAGATTGGTTGTAGGTCACATAGGCACCTACACTATCAAAGCGAAGTTGGCTGACTCCGGTCGAACTGTCATACTAGGCAATAGTCCGTAATTCTTTCAAACTGACTAAGAAGGAATTTCCCGTAAAATTAACCTTTGCCTAGACTTTAAATAAGGCATATTCCTGCCAGAACCCGTTTGTTTTACACATCATTCAGTTTTAGTGGCTTTGACAAGGGCACCAGGGTACGCTTTTTCAATGAAAACCATGTATGTATAAAAACAAAGCCATCAACATAAAAATCGTGTATAATAATAAGAGGGATTTTATTAGGATTCAGTGTGAATGCTTCGCATGGGTCGGCTAATATGCTCAAACAAGAAATTACTTTTTAAGGCGTACAGTGTATGATCAATTTTCTGGGAGATGCTGCGTTTGCCAGGTTGGCTGTGAGTGATAGGTTTACAAGGAGCGACGAGCGGGGACAATCTCTGCGGAAACGATAACAGGATTTACATAACAATGAACGATTGACAAGACAGAAATCACATCATCTGCATTGCCTCAGGCTGGTATCTGAATATAAGAGAAACCGTTAAAAATGAACGGTGTTGGGGGATATTCAATAGTTAAAACTCACAATCACTACTATCACAAATGTTATTTACATTCACGTGACGATCTATTATATATATATATATATATATATATATATATATATATATATATATATATATATATATATATATCACTAAATAATATTTAAATATTTATTTGAGCACCTAATTTTTCTTTATCATGCAATATTGGCCCAAAAACTATATTTATTCCTTTGTAAAATGTTGTCGCTT